TGAGTCCCAGCAAAAGCTCCCTGTTCAGCTCCCAGGCCGGTCATCTTCCCCTTCTTACTATGGAGCACCTTGTAGACTTGATTTGATTCACTTCTCTGTTTCATACTAGTGCAAATCAGGTGTGATTCAACTTGGAGAATTCTTTGGCAGGGTGGATGTTCACATGAAAAAAAAAAAAAACAACCCCCACACAGTCCCCCCCCCATCTGTTCTTTATTTCAAGATAATCAGACAGTAAGTGTTTTCAGTTCAAAGGAGTCAGTTGGAGCCCTGTGCTGTTTCTGACATGTTTTCCATCCTTACTGCTGATGCAATGCATTTTCATTGGGTTTGGTATCTCAAGGCTTTGGAATGATGTTGCTACATATGTTTAAAGTTCCCTGTCCCTTGACTTCTTCATGTTAACTCAGACTCCATTTCCTTTTTAAATAATACAGTAAAAGAATTTCTAAATGTCACTCATTAAAAAGCGTGTTTGGTTTAGCCTTTTAAAAGTACACTAAATTCATCGTTTGAGGTGCCTTAGAGAAGGAAATAACCAAAGATTTTTTTTCTTTTACCTTATCTTAAAAAATAATAAACTTAAAAACAGGTTTTCTGCACCTTTTATAACCCAGAGTGATTTTCACTCTCACAGCCAAACTATAATCCTGTTAAAATATTAAAACACTAATAGGTCCTAATAGAAAAATACACAAGATCACTGTAATGTTAATATAACTTGCCAAAATCAGTAACAATTCAGAACAATTTCTTCGCACATATCTTATTCATGCCATTAGCAACACTGATGGTACAGCAAGGATTCATGTACACATTTTAAAAGTATATTAAAGCCCAAGAATGAAACCCTTCCTTGTGCTCCATTTACAATGTTGGGGAAAAATAAAATCAAAGTACAAAACCGACTTACTTCCAGTACGATCAGCACGTAGACACCTACTAAGATGATGGACGCAATTGTTACTTGTGCCTCTATATTTGCATGAAGGTATTGATGCTTCATGGAGAGAGGAACACTTCCAGGCTCCTGTAGGAAAGCTTGAATGTTTATGAAGATGGTGCCTCTGGTGAAAGAAAGAGAAGTTTTGCTTATTTCTGGAATGAAATACTATTAGTTTTATTTATGCATTAATTTTATATTGAGTACCTAAAAATATATGTATATGTGTTATATCTTTACAATTGCAAGCAACTTTTCAAACATTTTCACTCTATCCCTTTAAATAGCATTGTTTGGAAAGTAACTCAAGTACAAACCAGCCATGTAAATCCATTTAAAAAGTAACAAGAAGTCATCCTTTCCTGTCCCTCTGAAACAGGCAATGATAGATTTTTAAAACATTATCTATTCCTTTATAGTCAAGTCTCTGTAAACTATTACTTCAATGGATCATTTCTCACTCTTAACCAACCTGTTTGGTATCTGAAAGGTTCTAGTTGTGATGGTTTGTTGATTTCTTCTTGAACTTAAGGGTAGAGACCAGTTGTATACCACCTGCAAGAGAGTCACATTTGGCAATATTAATAAAAGTCGGTGAAAGTGACATGTCTCTGATCTACGGTTTTATTCCTCTTTCTTCTCTCTCTTGCAGCACAGGTTACAGCAGCCTCCTCATCACGAGGGTGGGTGGTTTAAGAGAGTAATTGCCATTATGGTATTGTTCACCATGCTGAGGTAGTGGGACTAATCTTTTGCTGTAAGCGGGAATTCTGATGGTATTGTTCAGCTGTGCTGTCACTGGTAGAGGCAGGCCATCCTGTCACGTATACAGAATGAGAGGCAGTTGTTTGTATGTCAATGTCATTTATTAAATGATGAAGCTTATTTTTATTTTTCAATGATTTACAATGACAGGCTGTAGAAGATCCTCTTTCACCAAGTTCTCTGGGAGAGAGCAGCAGGAACTTGTAACAAAAAACATCAACAACGAGAAAGCCTTAAGAGAAATAAAGCAAATAAATGTGACACATGTTTGAGAAAATAATTTGCAACAAAATGTGAAAATGTATTTCAGTGAGTGCAAAAAGGCACTTTGCACTTGTTTCTTCCTTCTAACACAACTTTTGAAATGTTGCCAATTTTAAACACAAGAACTTCCATGCTAAGAGTCAGTCAAGGGGCAAAAGTTTTACAAAATTTTAACATAGGAAACTAAAGGAAGTCTTATAAAGACAAAAAAAAACGTAACTTTACCCTTATTAGAATAAGTTTTTTAATGCTGATGCTGACACACTTCACAGCAGGGAAAAGCACAACCACTTAATCCACACAAAAGTGATGGAAATAAAAGTGATAAAACACATTTCAGAAAAAGTGAAAGAAAATTTAAAGACCATCACCTGTTGCTGGTGTCTTCTCCTTGATCCAGCATCTTCAGTCTGGCTGATTTGTACTACAATGTATTCCTCTGTTTGCTCATCAACTACATTTGCTACAAATGGGCCTCCTATGTCTAACTTCAATAGAGCAGAATCACGAAAATCGGTCAGATTCATAGCTGTTAATAAAGTTGTTAAGGTGTAACCTTCCAGTAAAAAGGAGTATTGGCTGTACAAATTCCAGAAAAAAAATATACATTAGTCAACCTACATTGAAAAACACATTCTTCAGCTAAAATGCTTACGAAACTATGAAAAGAACAAAATAGATGTCTACTTCCTCACCAAGTAGCACTGCTTTGGCCGGGTTTCCTAAAGAAACAGGAGTTACAGGTTCAGAACAAATACATCTGTCCTTTCCTAGTAACTTTTGAGATCACAAGTGCTTTCAGCTGACACTGTAGATGTACCAAAGCTCCAAAATAGCACACGGAAATACACAGAGAGACAGAGAAGTAAGGCTCTTTAAGTGCTTGTACTAGATGAAAGGCTGCATCATTAGCTCAGCAATTTAAACATCACAGAATTTGTACTGGGGAAAACACTGTGGAAGCTCCAACCATGGGGAACACTAAACCAGAATCAACGTCCTATTCATGCCAGAGGATTTGCTTTTTGGTCAAAATTTTACCCACAATTTTTCAAACATCTGAAATACATATTTTCAAGCTCCTCTCAATTGGAGTACTCACAGACTCTTTCTCCTCCAGCTCCCTCATCTACTTTTCCTTTCTTTCTCTCTTGGATATCTAGCATGAGGTGTGGTCAGACTACATCCCTAGTCTAATATAACTGAGACATCAGCCAACCATGATCCACAAATCCATTGGAAGTCTGGTTCTATTAGTCCCAATACATCTAGGACTATTTAAACTTAGTATTGTGATAGTCCATTTCTGGCATCATTGAGAAAGAAGCATCCCTGTGGGTTTGGGGAAGAGGGAAAGCCTGAGCTTTTATACCCTACACAGTCCATTACTATAATAGAGCTATATTGTAATTGTTTTGCTCCTATCTGTGACCAGAGAGAAAGCTAAGGCATCACCAACAAAAAAAAAATCCTAAGAAGGGAAAAGAAAAGACTTGATTTTACACATATATGTTCTGTTGAAATCATGCAACTTAATCACATGCTTGAGTATCTTAACGGTTTTAACATCTGACATTTAATTGAGCATACTACAAAGAGTGAATCTGTTGCAAAAAAAATGTACAAGATCATATACCTATCAGAAGGATTTTCCCAGAAAGATGTTTTGTGGCCCACAGAACTCAGAGATTTTAACAGGAGAAGAAAAAACACAGTATAGTTAGAGGGGACTCAGGGCAGCGCTATGCCCAGCTTCCCAGTGAGCCCCAGTTAAGGCCATCTATGGTAGACCAGTCTCTAATGGGGGAAAGCTTTGTGACATTATGCAGGGGTCCTTCATCTTTAAAAGAGTTGTTGCTTCTGTCCACTTTCCCGACAGGAGAACTGGATCCAAAAAAGAAATGTCTCTCACACTAACCCAAAAAAACCCCTAGCAGATCTAGGGGCAGGTGAGCAGCCAGTCTTGCAAAGTAATATAAATGTCACCCTACTTAGCACGGCGAGCAGAGCAATCACCACCAGTGTCACTCACATGCCATTCATTAAGAATGAACTTCCCAAGCATCTATTTCCTTAAAGAAATCACACAGGAAAGGATAAATAAAAAACCTCAGATGCAACAAATCAGGAGACCAAATCCAGTTGGGAGAATTTACGCACACAGCCCTTAGCAAGCATAAATACAAATTACATCTGTTCTCTTCTGGTTCTGAAAGTTTTAAGTGTGATTTGGCATCACAGTTTTTCTGTGACCTAATTAATACATAATATTAGTCCCAACTGGAACTATAGCTATACCTTTAACTAGAGACATTAATTATACCTTCTAAAAGGCCTGCTGACCTGAAGGCATTAACCCAATGATTTGGGACACCTCTTGACAGTGTGCCTTTTATTAGGAGTGTAGCCAGTAATTTATGTCTCGAAAAGCTTCAGGTGCATATAATTATGGCAGCTTCCTTTTAAGCAATACTTTTAAAATAAGTCCTGTAATTACCTAGATGACACATTCAGGAGCTATTATAAAGCATGCTTAAAATTAAAGGGGGGAAAATTAAACCTTATTTTCAAGAAGAGTGGTTCCTTCCTTCTTTTCCTATAAAGATGAGGATACTTAAGAAGTTTTTCCATTCCTTTCTGTGCATTTATAAAACCACCAGAAAGAGCCCTAGCAAAACAGGTTCTCCTTTGATTGCAAGTGGAACTGAACATCATTCACCAGTCTGCATTGAGGCTCTGAAATCCCATCAGAGTTATCTTTCTCCAAACAATATTTAGAGACTCTGTCATAATTCCATTGCTAGACTGCAGCAGACCGCAGCCTTTATGAAAGGTGGAATCAAAATAAACCAGGAGGAAACTTCAGCCACGCTTATATGAATCAAAATGCGATTTTTTTTATCAAGCTGCTCTTCAGAATATCTTTGTTCTGTCTTATCTTGGTTTTATATTTCCCTTAAATTGCCGGAATGTGATTTCCTCTATATTTTAATCATTCAGATGGGACTAACTTTTGGGAAAACTATCTTTTTACTCCTAATATCCCCTTTTATTCTGCAACTCAACCACACTGGGACTTTTTGTCTTTTCTGAACTTTTTTTGTAATGTGGCCTCCAGTGTGCGCCTGAAAAGCAAAAAATCCCCCTGACAAGATTTACAGCCAGAGCTGTTATTTTTTATTTCACTTCAGCTAAGCTGCTTCATTTTTATGTAGTTCCATTCTTGAAATTGTATTATTGCTGTGAATTATCCTGTCAAGGGATTTGGGTTTGTGTATGCTTTGTGGACCATTACACAGTGGCTGCCTGTATTTACATCTGGCACCAAACTGAGTCCACTGCTCAGAGCCAAACCAAGAGCTGTTTTTTCTCATCTCAGTTTTCTGACTAGCTGGTCCTAGAAGGTATTGAAGGGTGTGCAAGAGTCATCTCACGTCACTTTACGTTTTTTGTAGCTTATGTAGACAACACGATGGAATGGGATGCAGTGGCTAAATGTTTAAATTGGTATTCATTCACCACAGTTTATACTTCTGTACTGTGAAGATCTGCATCTGAGTTGGTTACTCCTTTAAAATCAGTGAAAAGAGGGTGCTTTTAAGATAGGATTCATTGCTTCATTTTAGACCACACAAAGATGAGAGGAATCGCTCGTGAGAAGCATCAGTTCTCTCTATTAACTCTAAAGAGAGCCTGGGATAACTAACTCAGTGTAGCTGAGATGAGTCACTCCCTAAATACTGAGTCCCTGCTCTACCCTCCATCACGCCATTAATTCAGTATGTACAGAGCCAGCTGAAAAGCCATGATTGACGGAGATTCTCTGTTATATTTGCATGCACATGGCAGACTTTATGCTTTCTTTAACATCTACTTGTATCACCTACTCTGCCTACTGTAAAATGCACCTTGAGAATACTATGTCTATTGATTATTTTTCACCAAGTTTCTGAGGTGCTTGTATACTATTGATCCTGATCTATGACCAGGTCTCTCATGCTAGTTTTCCTAGGCTATTGCCATTTTAAAGAAGGCATTTTGCCTGAGTCTTAGCATCTATTTTTACGTGTTGTCCTTAACTGAGGTTATTTCTGCATCACTCTCTACAGTTTTCTCTTTTGATGTCCTATCCCTGTTTGTAGCTTATGACGTTGGTTTTTTACATCATCCCTTCACAATATACCAAGCTGAACCACATGCTTTTCTATACCTATTGGTTTCCCCATGTGAAGAATGCTCCATAACATTTTTTCTCCTTTTTGGAGCGTCAGCAATCTGGTTCCATTTTTGTCTACTATGGATCCATCCTTCCTCTCTGTGCTCCATCAGTTCTAGAAGTTTTGTGAGTCCTTAATAAACTCTCTTTTCTACATCATTTTCTCAATGATGCCTTGAGATTCTGATTCTTTGCCTGCCTCTGCACATGGTCCTGGTCTTCATCCATCTACTTAGCAGCTTGAAAATTGCCTGCAGGCCAAAATGCTTAGTACGTTTCCAACAGCATCAACAAACATAAATGATTTTTAAATGTGTTCTGTAAGGAAAAATGATGGAGAAATGTCTGACAGTAGAGAACTAGAGTTACAAAATTAAAAAAATTCAAAGGGGAAAAAGAACTAAAGGGATTAGAGAGGTTGTTTCATTCATTAAGTTAATTTATGCTCCCTGGGAGAAGAACCCATTTTTAGGACCTCCATGGAAGCTGAAAAGTCTGCTAAAATCTGACTATATTATTTACCTCACAGTCTGTCTTTCTACCTCTGGTTCAAGGGAAAGGTGATTTTCAGTGTCGCTAATGGTCATGGCATGATTACAAGTTTTCCTAGTGACCTTTTCTTGCTCCCTGATTAACACAGTTGCACCAATCATTCAAACTCATGCAACTTCGGCAAGGAATTTGATAATACGGTCAGCACATTTACCCATTTTATGTCTGCTCAATCTAGAGACTCCCCATCAACTTCCATATGTGGAATTGTTCTAAATAGTTCCACTGAATCCAAATGAAATAAGAAGTCTAGCCTATGATGTAAATTTCAATATATTATTGAGATACATCTTCTACTTTCTGAATTTGAGATCTTAATCCTGGATTGGATGTGATGAAATCTCTCAGAGCTACTGTGGAGGGAGGTAATGGCCCCTGACCAGTCAATTTGATATCTCTGGGTTTGTCTGATTTGGATTGACCGGAGACCTGTTCAGCCATGACTTGAGATCATGTATTTTCATTAAGCTTTGTTTTGCATATAAAGAGCAAGTGAGTAAGGAACCCTTCACACTGGGTGCTGTGCAAATATATACCTTGCAAAATGTCAGCCTTTGTTCCCAAAATTTTACTGAGGAGATATCAAATATTTAAAGCAAATAATCACATGGACTGAAAGGTTTTAAAATATATTTATACAAATGCAAGATCCTTGGCCAGACTCAGAAAGAATTCACAGTCCGCTCCCCAGCTATTTTCAGGTTTCAGGTCCAAGAGAAGGAAGTTCTGACAATCAGTCAGAAAAAGGAAAATGAAATTGCTTCACCTAGACTGATCTAACTTTCCCTCACCTATAACAGGAACTGGCACAAGTACAGAAGTTGAGAGGGAAGCAAACAAGACTGTTACTGAAACACTTGTCAGGGAATAGTGTTGGAAAATGGAAATTCACAGCTCAACGAGGTAGGTGTGAGACCCATTGCACAGAAGTGCGCCAGAAGAAGATTTACCTTTTCTTGTAAAAAGAAAATATTTCTACTATTGAGAAGTATAGAAATAGCAGTAATTTTATCAGGTACAGTGAAAGAAAAAAAGGCACTGTATCAGGGAAACAGACAGTTCTTTAAATGACAGTGAGGTAGCGTACAGTTTGATTGCATAATTCCTTAATAGCACCCACAAATCCCCATTACTTTTTCATTTCATAAAGCCTAGTTCAATTCAAAAAGTTAGTGCACAGTTCTGCTCCACTGTCTGTTCCCCATTGCTGGAGAAAAACTTAAAATTTTGCTTAGATCAGGGTAGAAGTTATTAGAAACAAAGGAATGAACACAGAGTGTGTTTAGCATTTCAGAAGATTCTTCAAGTCTGAAAGCCTATGCAAGTTGTGAGGAAAAACAAGAATATTTCTCATTCACTCTTTGGTCAACCGGTTAATGGAAAGAAGTTACAGAACAGTTACAGAAGATAAAAATAAGTACATTAGAATAGGTACATGTAACTAAACTAAGAAATGCTGGAATTTACTCAGACTCTATATCTCTTCTTCTATTTTTATAATTCACTTTCCAAAGGCACATCATCTTATTAATTATTGATGCTCCCCACTTAACATACAGTCTTTGAGCAGAAGATCTGAAAATGCTTCACACATTTACATCAGTAGGGGTATTGAATCTCGTTTCCTGCAGAAAAGGGTCCTCTAGCCAGGTTTCAGTATAAACTTACTTCTTTCTCGTATTAGAGAGCTGACTGTTAAAATTTATAAGCCAATAAACCCCAAGTGTTGTCAAAAAGGAACAATATTACCACTATTTTGAAAAACTATACTAAATCCAGTGAATTTGTATCTCGTACCTATGGGAAATCAGTATTTAAAAAAACCCACCTTACAGACTCAAAAATCTTCCATTAATTCACAGGAGGCCAGATGTTGTTTTCAGAAACTGCAGCCAACACACCTCAGTACTACATGCCAGGTTTGTACCCATGGGGATGGGCAAAGCAAAGGAAGATACAAGTGGGCTAATAAAAAAGAAGATAATGGGAAGAAAAACAGCTGGAGTAAATCCAAACAAGAGATAGCAGTATAGAAACATAAACAAATGGGAACTAGAGCAAGTGGAAAAGTGCTAAAGAGATGTCATATGAAAAGCAGGTCACCCCCACACCAGCTGATGCAGGTCTCTCCCAGCACCAGAGACAGAAAGTCCTGCCATTGAGCAAGCCTGAGATCTAATGGGCATGACAGAAAAACCACAAATATTTAAGTGACACCAGGATGACAAAGGATATGAAGTCCAAAGGGGATCACTCGATTTGGTTTTTAAAAATATTTCAAACTTTGTTTTGATTTTTCTAGTGTATGCAGACACAGTGTATGCATGAGCACACATCCATAACATACACATCAATGTGCATGGGCATTTCTGGAAAGAAATAGAAATGAGAGGAAGACTTTTTTTTTTTTAAAAGTATATAGTGATTAGTACCCATTCAACACTTCTTAACAGCTTTTGAGGCATAAGCCAGAGGTAAAGAGAGTTCATTTGCATAATTTGGCATCATATAAGCTAAGAGATTTATTTTCCACCCAAAGCAGTCTCGTATAATAACTTCTAAGGGTTTTGCGACAAGGACTACTGCAGCACACCTGCCAGCCTACCATGAAATTCTTGTAGACATTCAGAGAGTAGCGCCTAACATCCACCGGGAATACTGCAGTCTGTCAGCCAACGTAAATCACATTTTCAACACTGCTGTGTAAATGGCTAACATTATCCAAGCCTAGCCAAAAAGATGAATACTTTCTTCACTGTGCAACAAAGTGGAGGACAACCACGTGAGCTCACTTCTGTGCAAATGAAGACTGGTAGCAACAGTGAGATGACATTCAGAATTGCTTGTGCCTTTTCCAAAATTCATTTAGAAATGCAATCTTTCTCCTTGACCCTTCTGCTTGAATTACCATGTCATCTTGAAAACAAAGCATGACTTTGCTGGATTGCTTGCCTCTCGCATGTTTTTGCCTAGCTCTGACCTCAGGTCGGAACGCAGGGACAGGACGTCCAGTTTTCAATACACATGACACAAACTCAGAAGCTTCAGCTCCAGGTTTGTCAAGTAAGAAAGGGGAATGCTATATTCTGACTGTCTGACAGCTATTTGGCTCAAAGTATCCTGATGTGATATGTAAAATGTGAAATATGGGAACACTTGTTTGTACTCAAATCCCAGTCCCACCAGCACTTCCCTGACACAAGCAAAAGGAACAACTGGTTGCAGAGTCAATGCATGCAATGCAGCAGCTATGGTTCCAACCCAAAATCTGTAGAAAGAGAGCAAATCCTCAAGTTATGCTATGACAGTTGACTAAAACTTGAACTCAAAGAGTTCAAAACTCAAAACTTGCTGCCAATACACCGTCCTTTGGCAGAACGGGTCATGACTGCCCTGGTGCTGTTTGAGACCACACATACATTAGGAGCTTTCAACAATGGTTTCAAGGAGGACAAAAACATTGATGTGAACAGGATACTGATGGGAGTTTACAGTTGAAGTTGTCACTGGTCCTCCTAAATGTTCACTTGCTTTCCTCCAAAAAGCCATCTCAACTTTTCATTATAAGTGGTGCTCAAGCACTAACATTTTCTTCCTCATTTACCCTACTAATTGTTCTGTTATATTGTGTCATTATTGGCAACAGTAAGAATACTAATAGTCAAATCTATTTAAAATGGACTCTCCCTGATCAAAGCTATGGAACTGCCCAGTTAAATAGAAAAAAATCAGCATTTCAAAAATTAAATCCTATTGCATCTTTTCAAAATAAGACACCTGCCAGGAGCTTGTGAAATATATCTATAGTGAATCATCTGCTAACACTAGAGAAATAAGAGCCAAGCAGATTGTGGACCAGACTGATTAAACTAGAAATATAGTGGGAACAAGAGATGTAATTTATTTACAAAAGTTTTTGTTTGTTTACTAACTGAATGATCATCTGCTCATCCCTCAAAAGTTTTTCACATTCAGGTCTCCATTCACCTGCAATTAATCATTTTTATTTTGGTTTATTCTATTGCTTGTTCTTTTGAACAGTTTCTTGGTAATCTGTGGACTTAAATTTATTATTAAGCAATTTTGCATGGAAAATTTGTAAAGGAATCTGCACCTCCACTGAAAAATATCTATAGATGCACAAAGCCATACATACGGCTGGGCTGAGCTGTTCTGGAAACACACCCATGAATCATCTCATTTCCTGCTTTTGAAGGAGTTCGCTGAAGGGTAGCATGGTCCAAGTATACCCTATGGGTGACAGTATACAACTGGCAGTTGTTGCAGCCAGGTGCATATTCTAGCCATGGTCCCAGCTATTTGCTGGACCTTCATCCCACTGGCTCTGTTACCCCTTCCACACTCTTGGCTTCATGCAGAGACTGGATACAAGGAGTGGATGGGCACCAGAATATGCCGCAGACAGGTGCCGTTCAGTATGACTTAGCTAGGAAGCACAACTGTGGCCTGCATCAAAGGACATGGAGCCCAGGCTCTGAGGACACCCAATCCTCTCAGGGTATAAGATAGAAAACACCCACCCATTCAACCAGTTTATCAATGAAACTTCAGTTCCATTTTTTTTTTTTTACAATGAAAGAAGGATACAGAAGCTTTCCAGAGGTGACACAGCCAACATCTGCCAGGACACACCTTGGTCTGGATAAATGCCAAATAAAATCTAGGGCAAGGATAAAAACCAAACATTCATTAATAACACAAAAACTGAAAAAAATCTGCTAAGCCTATCTAAAATACTTAAATAAGGCTCTTTCAAACTGTGCATTAAATTGTAAGATTGCTTTCAGTATTTTCAAGTATGTTTCCAACAGAGCTGAAAAACAGCCCTGGGATACTTAAAAAGGATGACTAATATTCTTTCTGTAAACTTACTGCCAAAGTCACATATTCAATGTATTTTATCCAAGTGTCTCTTAGGACAAAGTTGTAATCTTAAGGATCTATCTGGAAAGCAACACTCACATCTGAGGAAATAAAGTGTGTCATCCATTTTGTCTCTGATACAGAAGCCCTGCTAGCCAAAAAAGGGTTCCTCACAGCAGCTAAAAGGATAAACTCCAACTTTTTGAAATGTTTCTCAAGTCTTGCAGTCCAAGATTTTGCTGATTTTGAAGATTTCGATAGCAGAGGGCAGCACTCTGGCAGCCCCAGTAGGGAGCTGCCTACCTCCTTGTGGCCTTCTGCCTTTCACACCATGGAGTGCTGTCATCCTCCCCGGCACAGTTTTTCCTATGAACATTCCCCAGGTGTTAGCCAGTATCTAAAGACTCAACAAGCGACCATTAAGGACATACAAATTTGAGTTTGAGCTGCCTCCTTAAACTCAGCTGCCTACCCTACCACATTGTCCAGGGTGGTGGCTAGTGCACCAAACAGTGGTCTGATTAGGCATGAGGCCCTGCACAGTATTTTCACTTTTTGCCGTCTTGCCCCCACCCTCGAGACTTTTTTTTATTAGCTAAGACCAAATATCACACCTCATTTTGAACTAAATCCAAGAAATTGGGGTGGGGGGAAGGGTTGCTAGTTCAATACTTACAGAGCAGATAACTACAAAGATAAAAAGGCCTGAAACTTTTAGGAATTTTAGACAGCATCTGAAACGTAAGAAACATGCGTTTACTACACGGCTAGTTTAAAACAAACATTTTCCGTTCTCTTAATAGCTCTGACATTTCAGAAACATCATGGTGAGCACTTATAATATACCGCGTCAGAGTATGGACACCACTACGGGGGGTCAGCAGGGCTTGGGAAGCCTCAATGACTATAAGGGCCTCCTGCCCCAGGTCTGCTGCCAGACGGGTCTCATTGCACAGGGAGGAGGTTTTATCCCTCAGGCTGCAGCATGAGCCGGTGATGGGACTGGAGCCACTTCTCTGCTGCTATTGCCGGCCCCCAGCAGACCCAGAGCCCCATCAGTTCGCCCTGGTCTCTCCCAGGGATGCAAAGGAGCATTGCCACCGCAGGGAGGTGGCATGGCTGAGCAGAAAGCACAGCTTGTTGCATAGAGGGGTGGTGTCATGAATGACGTCCTTAAAACTGGACTTCTGATATACATCCTGAAAGGTGTTCGGAAAAGACAGTTTGAAGACGAGAACAAGCTTTAAGAATCTCCTGAGTTTAATAGTGTCTCTTTAAACCAAATATACTTCATGAGCACCTCTAGATAAACCAACTAGCAAAATTAGATTTTTTTCCATAGCACATCTGCACCCTTTGAAGGAATGCCCAGTTCTGGAGATCTGATGTCATCAAATTTTCTGAAGTGTCAGAGCTTACTACTGAGTGTGTTAAGCAAGAATAACTCTAAATTAAAATGTGGATGTTGAAAATACATGCTCTCGAGTAAGAAATCTTAAGATTTAGCACTTTTAAATTACCATTTTTTTAATCTTACCATAAAAGGCAACTCTTAACTAGTTATTTTCTTGCTGCCCATCAGTATGTTACACAGATGTCTTAATTTACAGAACTTTTTGATGATTTGCCCTTATTACATCCTTTCATTAATTGAAGGCGTTGATGTTCTTATTCCATTTTTTCAAAAGTAAAAATTCAAACATTGCTTTTCTGACAGAATGACAAATGTAAGGTTTGATTTAAGCCTGATGACAAGCAAGAAGGAAAACATTTCAAGTTATTAGGATAATTAGTTGAGAAGGGAACAGTGTAATAAATAGCTGTATCGGCAAGTGCTATAGAACAAAAATATTAAAGCAGAGTAGTCTGAAAAGAGTCAGAAATAATTTTTAACCACAGTGGAAATAAGTCCCTAAATCAAGTTCGTTGGCTGAAAACAGCATGAGTGACTGATGACCCATTTTTTAGAAACATTGTTGCCTAAAGATGCCTTCCTCTTTAGAATTCTCCAAACAGGCAGAAAAAAACACAGCAGCTAATAAAAATATGTTGCCACAGACAAACTGGTACAAAAGGGCTACAATACCCTATGAAATATAAGTGGTAGTGACTTTACGCAAACTTTGCACAGTATAAAAATCTAGAGAAGGGAGAGGAAGAGGGGAAGCCAGCTAGATGGCTTCTTCCAGAAATGCTGGGTAGCCCTGCTCTAATGAAAAACAAGGTGGCAGAGAGGGGGAAGAGGATAATAAAGGCTTGAAAAGAGAGGAATGACAACAAAAGCCATTATCAGCACCTCACAACTGATAACTTCTTTTGGTATTGTGTGATTTATGGAAAATACCTAGTACGAGCTTAGTCATGTATCCTCTGTCCTACTTGTCCATTCTCCCCATCTCTACATTACAGTTCTATTTTAGTATTTTTGAGAATCTGTTATGTTACGAATTATTAAAACCCAGTCTAGACTGGTTTAGTTTTAATGTACTTGATATTTTCTGTTTGCACTTCCAAATTATCATTTATAATAATAATAATAATAATTCAAATTATTATTGAAACAAGAAACAGCAATAACTTGATTTCAAGACATAAAAGAAATCAAAAAGCATTAATTAAGCCTTTATAAATTCATAACCACTCGTCTGTAAATAACAGAAACTCATCTAAAGGAGATGGCAAGATATAATTCAAAAGCTTTTGGAAATGGTTATTTTATTAAATGTAGAACTTAGAAGGCTCTTTTCCTCCCATCTGTTTGTTTTCATGGCATTTTGTATTAGGGAAGCAGCGCTTTTAACAGCTTACAGTTGAGAATTGATCAGCCTTTGACTCGCCTGTGGTTTGCAATCTGTCTCTTCCTACCACGCTAATCTGGCACAGCGATGCAAGTACAAACCCTGTGCCAAATCCTGCGCGGATATATGCCTCCAGCGCAATCCTATTTGACTTCAGCTGGAAATGCATGAAGTATAAATCTATGAAGGATTTCACTCCCTGTTCTAAACCAAATGATTTTTAGTCTGATCTGCACGTGGTGTCGGGCAGTTTAGCTCCATTTATTATCTCAGCGGAGTTATGCTGATTTGCGACAGCCAAGGAGCTGGCCCCATATGTACAACCCGCGCTATAGCAATGAAAATATTTCACGGGAAGTTCTGCCAGAGAAATGCGCCACTCCCCAGATTATGAACCTACGCTGTACTGGAAACAATGGATTCTACGCTCCCGCTCGATGCCTTTGTTCCATCAAATACCATGGAAAACTACCACGAGCCTGAAGACAGACGCCTGCCAAACTTCTTCACATCTGTTCGTATTGCGCTAATTGCAGCCATTGAAATTCTCCTGCGCCATTTGTTCAGCAGCAGTGCAGAAGAGTGGCACTCCACACAACACCGTATGCACGATGAAAGGAGGAAAACAATTGTGAAGTGATGAGCTAAGACAATGTACAGATTGGGAAAAGATGCACGGAAATCTCGCTGGAAAGGCTCCGCAGATCAACGCGGAGATGTGGACATGCAGTGCTAGGCTCCACGCAAATCTGCAGAGCAGGGGCCAGACCAAACTAGTAAAAACTGTTGAAATTCTGGAAGGGACAGAGAGAATTAGTATCCAAGATTAAAGGGTTTGCTAGTTAAATCCCAGGCAAAAATATCCTGAGAAAATTTGAAGTTAAGCTCTTATGGCATTGGTATCTTTTAATATATTAACAGATTCAATTTCCTCCATGCCTAAATGAGGTAAAAGACTACTTCGATAAAGAGGTAAAGAGGGGAATATATTGATGTACTTAAGGACAGAAAAATGCTCAGTTAGGTTTTGCATTGTGTATATGTGAAAAGCTATTATAATGACTACAGAAAGACTGTTACATACATATTTTAATTAAAGTCAAGTATTTCATAAAAGCAACAAAACTGAGGAATAAAGCTATGGAATCAATCAAGCGGTTTTTAAGAAATGGTTTCAAAGAAACGTTAAAAGCAATATAGAATGTATTTATTAACAAATTTAGAATAGGTGCTATGATTGATGCTTGTAAGAACAAGGGGCTATTGATCATTAGGTAGAGGCTGTAATCAATTTCACCAGGGTTTATTTATAAACTATCAATGGCAAGATAGGGCCTAAATATGGAGTGTTATTTTATTCATTTGCAGAAAATAAATCATTTTCTGGACATCTATACTTAAAAACTAATTCCTGCAGAAATAAAAAAAAAGGAATGGAAAAAGAAATAAATGAAAGTTTGAATTCAGACCTCATCTTTGATAAATTGAACTTGACATGAAGGTTGTCCAAGATTTCGTATTTCTCAGAAGAAGCAGATTTGGACAAACTTGTCATTTCATTTCCCAGTTGAAATCTTTGCTCAAATTCTGCAGAGCTGTTGTCCCATGAATCATCATCTGTGGTAAAATCTGGATTATGAAGAGCCATGCACTGCAACCTGTCATGCATTTTCAGTAAACATAATAAAACAAAACGGTGGTTTATTTCAACAGATAGTAGATGCAACTGCCCTTGCATATCCTTAGATTCACTGTGAGAGATTTTAATGGAAAAATTCATAGAAAGAGGTTTATTCACTACAGACTGAGCTCCCCTTTGTGACACAACTGGGTAAACTGGGGAGCAAAACCAAAGACCCCATTTAGGTGCACCTGGGAGAACCAGCTCTCTGATGCAGCAGGCAGATGTACCTCAGGATCTGGTGTGTAAACCCCCTATAAGGATCCTGCCTATAGCTCTGCTGTGTCTTCTAGGATATAAGAAAGAACCTAATGTAACACCACATGGAGAAAGTGAGAGCACATGACTTGCAGTTGCCTATCCTTATGGCTCTCTAATCACTCTGACCTCAGACCTTACATTTTCCCTTCCCCATTTACAGCCCCTTCTTTCCACTCAGGCTCCTCCAGAGTAATTCTCTGCTCACAACCCCTGCCATTCACTTTATTTCCCAGCAGGTTTGGTGACAGGATATAAGAACGAACCATGCACAATTAAATAGAAGAGAGCTTAGAAAAAGAATATTTTGAGTAAAATGAAAGTAACTCACCCATTTTCCTCTGAGGAAACCTTCAGTAGTGGTGTCTTCTCTGTAAAGCCAGTGTTTTTTGACCTTGAGCTGAATAATTTGGAAAAATTGAAGTGATATCTTTGGAGAGAAAAAAAAAAAAGAACAGTGAGTCTGCAGTACAATAATTCACTACAGTTCTACAGAATATTTTGCTACAAGTGCATCTAACTATTCTTTAAGAATGGTGTTCACCTAAATTAAGGTTTTCATTAAGTTTGAACTAGTCATGGTAGTTACCTCCTTATAGTTGTAGGGGACTCTACTACATAAAATAAGATAAATTTATCTTATCCTAAAAGCAGCATCTAAAATAGTCAATTAATCTCCCTCTGAATGTCAGAAGAGCAATAGACACCTAACTCACACTCACATGCTTATATTTTAGACACCTAAATTTACAGTGGAACAACTCCACTGTAATATTAGTGAGGCAAAATTCTTAAGATAAATAATTATATATTTTCATATAAGTTCCCATTAATATACTTCATAAAACATAAAATAATAGGATAATTTCTGTCCCATAAATGACATTTGAGACATGGATCACAAGAAATCTTCTAATCTCTATAACAACCTCAGCACCCTTCGTATTAGGGAAGAAAGCTTTATCTGAAGTACAAGTATTTCATTCCTGCAGCACAATGCCTTCCAAACATTTGCTGTCAAGTCTTGGTCCTGGTTCTGCAGATAATTAACAGAGAGTAAGCTACCTCTTGCCGTATTGCAGCTTAGCATTGTTAAGAAGCCTTTGGCTAAAATATAAACCCCAAAGCTTAAGAAATAGCTGGAAAGACTCAAGCACGATCACAGGGGTCTAGCTTTGGGGCAGGCTTCTGGGAGAGATTAAATAATTGAGCCATTTTAGAGCACTCCCAAAGACTTGGCTCTTCCAGAGACATTTCCCATCAAAACCACCATTATTCAGACATGCTCAGATTTATTCCATTCAATACTGCAGCCACCCACCACCAGAAAGTCCTGAAGAAAACTGCTAGACATACAGCCAATATGCAGATCTCTTTACTCCCAGAGACACTTAGAGGAAACCTGTCTTCTGCTATTGCTGGACTGTGAGGGGAAAGAAATTATAAAATCATAGACAACTAAATAAATATACAAAGGTGACTGGTAATTCAATCTTCTAAATATAAGGCTAGTCCAAAAAGAAGGATCTGTGTGTTTAACTTTATAACACAAAGGAAGACAGTGGAATTTCTTGCAATTTGTAAAGGTATGCATGAACTTAGATTTTGCAAAATTAAAACCTCCAGTTAATGCTTCAGCTTGCTTATTTAGTAGGGTTATCATTCAGAAGCCATGCTAGGTGTGGAATATCTGGATACAATTATTTCAGCCTTGAGTGGCCACAACGCTCATTCAAACTCTGCTGTAAGCACCGTATTTGCAGTGTCAGCAGAAGAGAATGAATGAGTTAGAAAGACTGAATTATCCAGTACCTCAGGTCAAATGTTGGGCAGATTACAATTCAGGTACTACATTGCACTGACAGTACACCTGTGAGGAGATGGCTGCATATTCTGAAGCTATCGAAGTACTTCCTTTTTTAAATAGGAGAATATCATTCACACAACAAGTTTAAGTGGAGAAATTCTGGCATTTTGAAGCGAGTGCTATTCTAATCTTATCATAGCCTTAGATGTAAAAGATTATCTAGAGCTTTTACAAAATGTAATCCATAAGGATAGCAAAAACACTATCAGGACTTTACATGTGTGCTCACTGAGCACTACTGATATGCTCCTGGCTAATCCCGGCGTCCCACTACATTCAAAGTTTGCATCCAAAGGTGACAATTTTAATAAAAATTCTGATGGTGGACCTTGAACTTGCACATTCAGAAATTTAACTGATGCAAAGACTGATTAGCTGTTTCTCTGTTAAACAAAATGATGCCACTTGTTCCACAAAAAAGGCTCCAAACAATATATACTATATGCTGTTCTGATGTAACCTCACATTGCGCACACCATTAGCCTTTCCACACTTATTTTTCTTCTTTTCCACCTACATGTGCAAAATCTGAGATTAGTAACCAGAAAACTTTCTACAAAAACTTCCATTTTCTTCCAATTGTTAGAGGTTGATACCAACACTGCTTTGTGTTACGTAGGCATACATATATCTACTAACGTTTTCCCACCTCACCACTTCTTCACCACCACTGTAAGTGAGTCACAATCTGCAAGGAGTGCTGAAAGGCAAAGCAACCACAGCAATGGCAACCAGAAAGAGAGGAAAAAGGTTTGGTGGAAGGTGGTTTAAATGACAGAACCTGAAGTGAAGGATCCAGAAGGCTAGTTAAAGACATCACCTTCACTTTCTTTTTGCACATTTGTTATCCTCACTTGCTGGTATAGGTCTTTTGCCACTTTTAAATGGAAATGTAGAGCTTCACAGATTGCCAAAAATGGCCAATACAGTAAAAATGGAAAAGGTCTTCAGATAAAGTGAAAACAATTAGCACATGACAACATCAATTTGCAGAGAGGAAAAACACATGGACAAGAATAAGCAGCAGGAAACAGCCAAGCTTGACAAAACAAAAATAATTAGAGAAAAAGCAGAAGAGCCTCAACTCCCCTGTGATGTGATTACTCTAATTAGAGAATGAGAGTAATATAAACAATAAAGCTAATTAGGGCATAAAAGAATCTTGAAGGCTGAAAGCTCTAGAAAGAAAAGTTGAAAAAACATCATGAAAAAATTGCACGGATTATAAAAATGAAAGTCATCCCTGAATGGAGAGCCTAATGCAAGCCCCTCTGTGCCTCTCATACTTCTGCAGAGACACTCTTGGTGCGATTTGGTCATCCACTTCATCAAAAGATAACAGAAATCATCTGCAAGCAAAACCTAGGAAGGCCCAAAGACCCCCTACTACTAGAGGAGCAAGTCTGCAGTGCTCAAAAACACTCTCAGCATCATTCTTGGTGCTCCTCAGCCCTGCAGGTGGCTGGCAATTATGACACTGTGTAAATAACGGAAAGATATCAGTGTGACATTTCAAAACCTAGGATCAGTTTACACTTTGAATGTTTCTTCGCAATCAAAAGATCTAGAAACTTTGGTTATATCTACATGCTAGAATGGAGTGCAATCTCTCTCTGCTGAGCAATTCAGCAACATTACCAAGGAGCTAATCACCAGGTCAGCTTATTAGCCCATTGTGGACAGACCCGTTCATAGGATCAGAAAAACTGGTCTGAATGTGAGGAGCTGGTAAGCCAGACACCAGTTGTGTCCAGTATTCTTCTCTCATGATTCAGACTCAAAAATCATTAGCATTTTATACATGAAATATGAGAAGAGACATTAAATAATTCCTTTACATATGTATACATTTATATGTAGATATGCACATAGATCTTCACACAACAAATTAACATTCTTATTTCCCTTTCATTCAAAAGTGATGGCAGAAAATTAAAATCAAAAGTGGTGGAAAGAAGTATTTGACAAGGACTTCTTCAAAGACTTTCAAGGTACCACTCATATGGAAAGATCCATGTAGAACTGACATCAGAAAAAGAAGAGCATGTTCTGCCTCCTGTACAACCACAGGTGTGGCCACATTCATTCTCACATTTGCTACAGCTGGACATGTTTTTTTTAATTCAGAGAAATCTTTCAAACAGAAGATTGTGTTCTTAACCACTTGGCTACTGCTGTGACAGTCATATATACAGATTTTAGCTCTGTCTGCAGGTGTATCAGTTTGTTCTGAGGAAGCATGTGTTTTCTGAGGTGGTTACTTGCAGTTAAAGTCACTGGTAATCTTTCAAGCAATTACAATTTCTGACTGTCTCCATAGTAACCTAGAAGAGGAATCAGCATTGTAGGAGGGCTGTCCACACCCCAGATGATACAGCAGGTTCTGCCAAGTCATGGAGGTGTCCACAGATGAAACTCCAGCTGCCTGACAGCAGCTGGAGAAGGATCTAACCCACAGCATTAAAAATACAAGGGTCCAAATGCGAGCCCTGGGCACCTATTGCAGAAGCCCCCACAGTCTGTGGCTGTGCCAATGCTCCCACACATGAGCTAGGTTCACACTGTTCTGGTGGCAATTTGTACTTCTCTACAGCTGTACAGCAGAGACCTTCAATCTCCTACCTTCATTTGGGCAGTTTAAGGAGAAGCAGGCTTCTCCTGCCCTCCTGGTCACGTGGAGAGGTACAGGGAGAGCAGGAGAGGCAAGGAAGAGATGTGGGGGACTCCAGTTGCTCCCACTCATGGGCTGATGACTCCTCAGACGTTATTCTGAGTCGGTGGCTGAAGACTGCTGCAGGTTCCACCTACAATACGCCGCTATCTTCCATTACCTGCAGATGATAACTTCCAAAGTCTTCAGGGGACTTTGGATGAAGTCCAAAGAGAGAACTCTATTCTTGCCATTGAGCACCAGACCTGCCCCCTGACCACATTTTCAGGCATTTCCTAATGGGTTTACACATGCCACTTTAAACAAAAGGAAAAGGAAGACTTTGTGGTAGGAACTGTTCAGCAATAAGCAACCTTTCAATCCCAAATACTCTGCAGCAGAGGACACCAAAAGAAGCAAGAACCCTACAGAAATGTGGGGAAGAAAAAGACCATACTCATCCTAGTTAGCTGGCAAACACTTAAAATAATCACTAGGTTTGGCTGGAACCTATTATTTAGCCTTATATTGAAAAGATTCATCATGCCACACAATGCATTAAGTTTTCACTCCCTATAATAAAAAGCATACATTTTAAACATCAGCTAAATTAATGCTTCATCTGCCATATGCTAAGTCATGCATGCAACTATCAGTAAAAGAGCTATTTCTATGACAAGAGAAAGCAATAATTCTCACTTCTATGGGAAGGATTTAGTCAGAATTGAAGAAGATGTGAATATGGAAGCATACATATTGTGCAAGAACATCAACAGTTTTGAACATAACTTATTGGAAATTTCACTATATAAAATATTAAAAGCAGAATCTCTTCAGGAAAAAGAAAAGTTAGCATGCTTCCCTGAGTTAGTAATCACTAAAACCATTATAAGCGTGAGGTTGCCTCTTAAAC